AGGGGAGGGGAAGGGAAAAGGGAGAGAGGAAGGGAGGGGGAGAGGGAGGGACGGAGGGAGGGAGGGAGGGATAGGGAGAGAGAGACTGGTATTGGTATCAAACTCAGGGCCTTGCCAGGCAAGTAATGTACCCTTGAGCCCTATCCCATCCCTTTGGTTTGTCTTTGAGACAGGGTCTCCCTGTAGCCACAGCTGGCCTGGAACTCACTATGTAGACCAGGCTGACATTTATCTCATAGAGATCCACTTGCTTCTGCTTCCTGAGTGCAGGGATTAATGGAGTGTGCCACCATGCTCGGCTATTCCTGAGCACTTTTTATGCATAGAATCTCATTCAAACCTCACCTTGGAGGTTTGATCCTTGGAGGGAGTGCTGTAACCCATCACCCTCACTTGGCTATGATCAAATAGAAGCATGGAAAGGTGGGATGGTTTGTGTAATAGTTTGTTTCTTCATTGCTGTGACAAAACACTCTGACCACTACCAACATGGGGAAGAAAGGGTTTATTTGGCCTACATCTCCTGGGCCACAGTTCATCAGGGACCCCAAGGTAAGAACTCAGGGAAGGAACTTAGAGGCAGGAGCTAGAGCACAGGCCATGGAGGAATGCTGGCTTGCTCCCCTGGCCCATGCTCAACCTGCTTTCTTATGCAAGACAGGCCCATCTGTCCAGGGGTGGCACCACTCACAGTGGGCTGGGCCCTCCCCATCATTCAATAACAACAAGATGCCCTGTGGGTATTATATGACATGGGTACACTTATACACACACAAGCAATAAACCCATACATATAAAATATAAAAACATCAACAAACAACCCACTACAGGAGGAAGACAACAATTATACACTTGCTGGCTAGCCTTGTTCAGCCAGGCCCCAGAATGTCTCTGGAAATTTCCAGCTACTTGGGGTTGTTTTCTGAAGCAAAACCCAAAGGCTGGGACCAGGGCAAGTTTTTAAAATGACCCTCCAGCATATTTGTAAAATATGGTTGCTACAAAGGCAGAGAGAGAGAGAGAGAGAGAGAGAGAGAGAGAGGAGAGAGAAGAGATGAGAGAGGGAAGCATTTGCCAGGCTGGGTGACAGTTCTGCAATTAGGATTCAGCTCCTATCCTGAAGTAAGGCTCTAATGACTGAATGTATTTGAGCTCACAGCAATTAGTGGGAGCCTGAAACTTCTTCTCTATGTGCAGAATACCAATGCCATCCAGGCAGAGGCTGTTTCTAGCACCGGGTATGCTGGCCACCCAGGCAGAACTCTGCTGATTTGAGTGGGGCTCACAGCCTAGTCCAGCTCTGCCTTGGAACCCCTTGCTACCCTCACCCTCACCTTAGGTGTCTGGTGATGGCTGTTTCCCTCCTTTTCTACCCAGTCCTCAGATCTGTGAAGTATACAGAGCTAGGGACCAGGGACCAGGGAGGCAAGTTTAATTAGCATTTACAAGTTGCTCTGCTACCTTTGGGCACAGGCCAAGGCCAGAGCCAGGGACCCTCCTGCTGTTTGTTCTGACTCAGCACTCTCTCCCCAAACACTGAAGCCCAGAAAGCCCACACTCAGCAGGAATTTATTATGCACTTTGGATTGGAGGCATCTGTGCTTTTGTGTAAAATGCTGTAGGGGGCTCTTGAGGGAAAAGGCTGAGCAGGCTTGGGGATGTGGGTGACTTGGGAGCCTTCGGACTCACAGGCATTTCTGTTAGCCTGCTCTGTACTGGACAAGAGACCACTGGCCACTCTTTTTTGTTGCTGTTGTACCAACTGTTGTTCTTGGGACAAACCAGAGGAACGTGATGGAAATCGAGGATTTGGGGTGCCAGAAGGGAGATGCAGGTGAACAGAGAAGGTAAGGATTGAATACAGGCCTGGCTAGGTGAAGGCACAGACGAATAAAAGGTTGCCAGGTCAACTGCACACGCATTGTTTTTTTAAAGAAAGATAACCTATTAAATCATATGTGACGCATGTATTTTAATAGTCACTGAAGTACAAATCATAGAATAAAATATTGGTTTGAATTCACTAAAGGTATTTAAATTTACATGTGATAAAAGATATCACAAATAAATTTAAAAGACACCATTAATTGGGAGTAGATATTTGCAAGTCATATCCGGTCCCTTCAAAATTAATCGCTATTTTTTTTCGGAGCTGAGGACTGAACCCAAGGCCTTGCACTTGCTAGGCAAGCACCTGACTCTAATATACAATTCTTATTAAAAAAAAAAAAAAAAAAAGATTTTAGGAGCCAGAGAGATGGCTCAGCAGTTAAGAGCACTGGCTATTCTTATAGAGGACCCAGGTTTGAATCCTAACACCCACATGGCATGGTTAGCAACTGTCCATAATTCCAGTTCCTGGGGATCTGATGCCCTTTCTGTCCTCTGGGTGAACTGCACGACACAGGCATGCTCATACACACGTAGGTGAAACATTCACGTACATAAAGTAAAAATAAATAAAAAATTTAAAAAGGTTTTACATATTTTTATTTTATATGTACAAGTGCATATGTGTAAGTGCACCATGTGTGTGCCTGGTTAGGTATCAGATCCCTTGGAACTTAAGTCTCAGATGGGTGTGGGTGTTGGGAACTGAACCTGGGTCCTCAGGAAGAGCAGTAAGTGTTCTTAATCACTGAGCCATCCCTCCAGTCCCAATGACAAACTCTTATAGGACCATTTATTATAAATGGTGTGTCATTACTGAACTGTCATTATGTAGTATGAGACTGTATAAACATTTCAAAGTCATTTATTTTACTCTCAAAAGAATGTTTGTTATAGAGACATGTTTTCTACAGAATAAGAAAAGACATTTTTACTACCCATTAAAGAAACAAAATGTAAAGCTACAAAGAAGTTGGTGTTCTCTACTGGGGTGGTTTCATCCCCTCCCCCTGGGTGTGGCTGACAATGTGTGGAGACAGTCTCACAGTTGGAGGGAAGATGCAACCGCATCTAATGGGTTGCCATTCTACAGTGCATGGGACAGATCTTTGCAGCATCATATTGTTAGCCCAAAACATCAACAGTGCTAAGGTCGACAAAGAGTGAACTAATGCAGATATTTTACCAATAAAGAAACTGAAGGCAAGAAGATATTTATGACATGAGCCACCATCTTACGGTATGTATCTCTGGGCCCAAATTCCCACTCAAGTTTTTGTTGTTTGTTGGTTTCCTAAGATTGAAGCTAAGGGCCTTGAGTATTCTGGGCAAGTACTCTACTACTGAGCTATACCTCCAGCCCTCTCATGCATATTCTTTTTTGAAAATTTATTTTTCTTTTATGTGTATGAGTGTATTGCCTGCATGTATATGAGTGCACCCACGTTGTGGTGTCTGCAGAGGCCAGAAGAGGGTGTCAGAACCCCTGGAACTGGAACTGGAGTTATAGACAGTTGTTAGCTGTGATGTGGGTGCTGAGATTTGAACCCGGGTCTTCTGTAAGAGCAGTCAGCGCTCTTAACTGACATGCTATCTCTCCAACCCTGCATGCATATTCTTTTTTGTGGGAGACAGACTTGAGCCTAGGGTGAAAGTCTTAATGACAGCCATACAGCAGGCCAAGGCAACGGCCTGACCGCTGGAGCCACAAGGAATGCCTTCTGACATTTGCTCCCATTGGCAGATCATGAGACTGATGCCTAGAGCACCACTCCTTAATCACCACCCTTGAGATTCCAAGCTGCAACACTTGGATATTGCAACAGCTTGGGTCACATGGTTCCCAGGAATCCAGGCCCCTCACAGGGAACCGGAACCTAAGTAACTTGAAACTTATCATGCGAATAAGGTGTCTGACTTGTAATGTCATGATAGGACACAGCCTTGCCAAAGATCTGAGTTGTAACTTCTTGATGGGACCCCCCCACCCCTATATAAGCTTGTACCCTTCTGCAATAAACTAGATCTGCATCACCAAACCAGGTCTCCTGTGTCTGAATGTGGCTCTGCTGACACAGTCTCCTCACCAGCCCTGGGGTCCCGGACAGGCAGAAGCAGCGACTACTGAAGACAGTGAGGAGCGAAGGGCAGTGTCTGAGCCATCACAGGTGGCACCCGCCCAAACAGAAGAGCACTTATTTTTTCGGTCTTTTTGAGACAGGGTCTCCCTGTAGCCCCAGCTGTCCTTGAACTCACCATGTAGACCAGGCTGGCCTTGAACTCATAGAGATCACCTGCCTCTGCCTCCCGAGTGCTGGGATTAAAGGCGTGCACCACCACGCCTGGCTGCATGCATATTCTTAATCACAACCCAGCTTGACCAAATCTTGGAGGCAGCTATCAGCAGGTCTTCAGCAGGTCTTGATAGTATTCCAACTCTACAGTCAATAATCTTTACCTTAGTTGACACTGGCACTCTGGAGGTTCTACCCTGTGTCCTCCCCCTCAGACTTTGAATCTGTCATACTTCATGACATATGTAAACTACCCTATCTATCTTTTTGTATCATTTAAGGAGGTCATGGGCTAGTGCCATGCTGTGTGAATGTTCTCAGCTTTTCCTCCCCACTCTTCGGCCTCACTCCTTCCAGTCCAGGGATGTGGCCCATTCTCTGGCCATTCTCTTCT